CAGAAAACAAAGTATTTTCTGTTGGTCATGGGGGTTCCGTGTGGGAAGTTTGGCCCAATTCCATCGTTGGTGGGGTTCAAGGGGCTCTTTGATTTTAGGTGAACTATAAATCCCAGCCACTACAACTCCCAAATATCAAGGTCTATTTGCCCTAAACTCCACCTGTATTCACATTTGGACATATTATTTTTGCCAAGTTTGGTCCTGATCCATCATTGTTTGAGTCCACAGTGCTTTCTGGATGTAGGTGAACTACAACTCCCAAACTCAAGGTCAAGGCCCACCAGACCCTTCCAGTATTTTCTGTTGGCCATGGAAGTTCTGTGTGCCAGGGTAGGTTCAGTTCCATCGTTGGTGGGGTTCTGAATGCTCTTTGATTGTAGGTGAACTATAAATCCTAGCAACTACAACTCCAAATGACAAAATCAATCCCTCCCAACCTCAGCAGTATTCAAATTTGGTATCAGGTATTTGTGCCAAATTTGGTCCAGCAAATGAAAATGCATCCTGCATATCAGATATTTACATTATGATTCATAACAGTAGCAAAGTGACAGTTATGAAGTAGCAACGAAAATAATATTTTGTATTGTCGAAGGCTTTCATGGCCGGAATCACTGGGTTGTTGTAGGTTTTTTCGGGCTGTATGGCCATGTTCTAGAGGCATTCTCTCCTGACGTTTCGCCTGCATCTATGGCAAGCATCCTCAGAGGTAGTGAGGTCTGTTGGAAACTAGGAAAATGGGTTTATATATCTGTGGAATGACCAGGGTGGGACAAAGGACTCCTGTCTGCTGGAGCTAGGTGTGAATGTTTCAACTGACCACCTTGATTAGCATATAATGGCCTGACAGTGCCTAGAGCAAACTTTTGTTGAGAGGTAATTAGATGTCCTTGTTTGTTTCCTCTCTGTTGTTGTGCTGTTGTGATTTTAGAGTTTTTTTAATACTGGTAGCCAGATTTTGTTCATTTTCATGGTTTCCTCCTTTCTGTTGAAATTGTCCACATGCTTGCTTGTGGATTTCAATGGCTTCTCTGTGTATGCTAATCAAGGGGGTCAGTTGAAACATTCACACCTAGCTCCAGCAGACAAGAGTCCTTTGTCCCACCCTGGTCATTCCACAGATATATAAACCCTTTTTCCTAGTTCCAAGAGACCTCACTACCTCTGAGGATGCTTGCCACAGATGCAGGCGAAACGTCAGGAGAGAATGCCTCTAGAACATGGCCATATAGCCCAAAAAACCCCTACAACAACCCAATAATATTTTGGTTGGGGGTCACCACAACATGAGGAACTGTATTAAGGGGTCATGGCATTAGAAAGGTGGAGAACCACTGGATTATAGAAATCAACATCAACAAAGAGTCAACCTTGCAGAATTGCGATGAAAGTAACTGTTGCAACTGTGCAATGTGGGCCCTTTGTGGATGTGGATTTCCACGATCATTTTCCACTCATGTTTGCACTACGCATGGTGAACGGATGCATCCAAACATTATGGCCGTCAGTAGAGAATACAGTAAGTTATTTCTGAGCTTTGCAAACCCAGAATTATTCTTGTCCCATCCCAGATTCATTGGACAACAATCCCCATCGTCCACCAGCCAGCTGCCAGGGGTGATGGGAGTCATAGTGCGACCCATCTGGATGGTGCCAGCTTGGGGGGGGGGGCAGCTTCACAGCCATCGTGTGTTTTTGCTTAATTTATGGGTCCCCCCTCCCGCTCCCACCGCCCACTGTGCACTTAGCAATCTGTCAGCGCCTGTCACTTCCACGCAACCACGTCACATGACAGCGTTTAATTCCTCCGTTATCAGCCAAGATCTCCTTTTGTGTCTTTTCTTTAAAAAATAACAAAAAAGCAAGCCATGTTACTGAGATAAAACAGTGGAAAGTGACAGCTCGCAAGGCAGAGAAAGAAAGCGAGGATCAGAAGAGCAGTTGTTGCGATTAGGGCGCATTACGTCCCCCCGAGTAGCTTTGAACAGCTTGGCAGCCAGGCACACGCCGCCCAGCCAAGGCAAATATGTGGATTTCGGCATGTGCCGCTTTGGGAACAAGGATCCCGCAAATGTCAAGAGCCCAATGCATCCAGTCAAAGGGGGATCCGACCGGAGCCATGTCCGAGTGTCCAGGCGGGTGTCCTTGGGCCAAAGGGACCGGGGAAGGAGCCGCAGGAAGAAGGCTTTGACAGGAATACATAATTAATGCGCATTGTTCCCTTGTTTGCGCTTGCCAAGGTGCCCCTCCCCTTCTCCATGCTTCGTTGGATGCTTCATCGTCATCTCCTTCTATGCTTTTGTGTTGTTGTTAATGCATAGTGCGAGTATGACCATTTTCCGAGTTCAGTGGTGATTTCCGATCACTAAGAGTGTGTCTACATTGCAGAATTAATGCAGTTTTGACCCCACTTTCACTGCACGGCTCAATGCTATGGAATCATAGAATCATTGAGTCACAGAATCCTAGAGTGGGTAGAGACCTCCTGGGCCATTCTCCAGTCCACCCCCATTCTGCCAAGAAGCAGGAATATTGCGTTCAAAGCACCCCCGACAGATGGCCATCCAGCCTCTGTTTAAAAGCCTCCAAAGGAGGAGCCTCCACCACACTCCAGGGCAGAGAGTTCCACTGCTGAACGGCTCTCTTCCTCATGTTCAGATGGAATCTCCTCTCTTGTAGTTTGAAGCCATTGTTCCCTTGCGTCCTAGTCTCCAGGGAAGCAGAAAACAAGCTTGCTCCCTCCTCCTCCCTGTGGCTTCTTCTCACATATTTATACATGGCTATCATATCTCCTCTCAGCCTTCTCTTCTTCAGGCTAAACATGCCCAGCTCCTTAAGCCGCTCCTCATAGGGCTTGTTCTCCAGACTCCTGATCTGCTCCCTCCTCCCTGTGGCTTCCTCTCACATATTTATACATGGCGCTCATCATATCTCCTCTCAGCCTTCTCTTCTTCAGGCTAAACATGCCCAGCTCCTTAAGCCGCTCCTCATAGGGCTTGTTCTCCAGAACTTTGATCATTTTAGTCGCCCTCCTCTGGACACATTCCAGCTTAGAGTCAATATCTGTCTTAAATTGTGGTGCCCAGAATTGGTCACAATATTCCACGTAAAGTGGCCTAACCAAGGCGGAATAGAGCATGGGGAGCAGGACTTCCCTGGATCCAGACACTATGCTCCTCTTGATGCAGGCCAACATCCCATTGGCTTTTTTGCCGCCACATCACATTCCTGGCTCATGTTTCACTTGTTGTTAAACAAGTTAAACATGGATGTTGCCATTTGGTGAAGCACCAGCTGTCTTCGTCAGAGAAGGCTAAAGACCTTGTCAAACTATAACACTCATTTCGCAGACATATACAAGGGTTGGGAGGACAATCTATATAAATAGTAATGTAATGTTCGTTCGTGGGATTAACATAACTCAAAAACCACTGGACGGATTGACACCAAATTTGGACACAAAACACCTATCAGGTCAATGAGTGACCATCACTCATACAAACCCTAGAAAACACAGCAGAAGGGACTTTAAATGCCAAAAAACATTACAACATATGCGTAAAACTACATATATGTACAGTGGGATTAACATAACTCAGAAACCACTGGACAGCTTGACACCAAATTTGGACACAAGACACCTCTCAGGCCAATGAGTGACCAACACTCATAAAAACACTGAAAAACACAGCAGAAGAGACTTAAAAAGCCAAACAATAAAACAAAACATAGATTACATTACAATGTATGTGCATAACCACATAAATACAAATATACACAAATATATATACACACATATACACAAACTGGGCCACAGCAATGTGTGGTAGGGGATGGTTAGTAGCTTTATAAACAAGCCCCTTGGTCTCCCTACAGATGTCCCGGTCCTCAAACACTCTCTGCTTCATTCGGAAAAAAGCTGCACTCGCAGAGCTCGGACGGTGTTGTATTTCAGTGTCAGTGTTGACATCTGTAGACAGTCCACATCTTGCAGGCGTATAGCAGGGTTGGGAGGACAATAGCTTTATAAACAAGCCCCTTGGTCTCCCTACAGATATCCCGGTCCTCAAACACTCTCTGCTTCATTCGGAAAAATGCTGCACTTGCAGAGCTCAGGCGGTGTTGTATTTCAGCGTCAATGTTGACATCTGTAGACAGTCCACGTTTCAAAGGCGTATAGCAGGGTTGGGATGTGAATGGCTTTATAAACAAGCACCTTGGTCTCCCTACGGATGTCCCGGTCCTCAAACACTCTCTGCTTCATTCAGAAAAAAGCTGCACTCGCAGAGCTCAGACGGTGTTGAATTTCAGTGTCGATGTTGACTTTTGTGGAGAGGGGGCGGCCGAGGGAGCAGAAATGGTCAACATTGTCTAACGTTACACCATAAAGCTGTATTTTTGGCATTGGGGAGGGATTGGTTGGTGACTGCTGGAAGAGCACGTTGGTTTTCTCAATGTTCAATAACAGGTTTTTAGAGTGGCTTGTAGGTCTTCTGAATGCACACGGATGATGTTATCATCAGCATACTGGAGTTCTATAACAGATGTTGTTACGACTTTACTTTTGGCTTTCAGCCTGCTGAGATTAAATAGCTTTCCATCTATTGTCGAAGGCTTTCATGGCCGGAATCACTGGGTTGTTGTAGGTTTTTCCAGGCTATATGGCCATGGTCTAGAGGCATTCTCTCCTGACGTTTTGCCTGCATCTATGGCAAGCATCCTCAGAGGTAGTGAGGTCTGAGGTTAAATAGTTTGCTATCTATCTGATAGATGATTTCCACTCCGGCGAGAAGCTTCCCACCAACAAGACCGGCATGCAATGTCACCAGAGCTATTTTGTTGTTTAGGAGGATGTTCTCATGTAGTTGTTTCTGGCAACACATATATGACACAGCTCAGCAAAACCATATGAACCCTGAGTGAGACATCAACATGAAGTTGACAAAGCAGCTGATGTGATGTCAACCGGGAAGTCCAGGACCTTAAAAGGAACCTACGTGCGGCTGGCCTGGCCTCTGTGGATTCCGGCCCTGGCCTCCCTTGGGCATCAAGCTGAGCTTCAGAGCATTCACAACTGTTCCAAATCGGCCTCTCTTTGCATTGATCCCCCGCTGTTTCGTTTGCTCAAAGAAGAAGAAGAAGAAACCCCTCCGCAGTGCCATAAGGTTGAGACTGAAATGTCCCGGCGACACAGCTTGGCTCCAACTCCTTCCGATTCCGCCTCGAGTGACAAATCCATTCTTTTTCATTTGCGGAAACACGCCTGAGGAAGGGAACCACCACCTGTCACCTGATATTTCTCTTTTCCTCCTCTCGCCTGTACATACATTAATGGGCTGGAAGGGAAGGAAGGCGAAAGGAAGGAGAAGCGGGGGCCGGGGGGGGGGGGGNGAAAGAAAGAAAGAAAGAAAGAAAGAAAGAAAGAAAGAAAGAAAGAAAGAAAGAAAGAAAGAAAGAGAAGGGGAAACAGGGTCAAGTCCTGGGATACAATTAAACAGGAAACAACACTTTCAAACCAGAAGCAGGACATTTATTCAAGCACGGCAACGTAGGGAAGAGACTCACGATGCTCCTCATGAGCTTGTCCCCGCCGCTGAAGGTCACGGCCAGCATGGAGGCGCACTCCTCCGCATAGAAAGGCATGAAGCCCATCTCGTCCACGGCTCCTGCAGAAGGAAGGAAGGAAGGAAGGAAGGAAGGAAGGAAGGAAGGAAGGAAGGAAGGAAGAGGCATAGCATGGGCTTCAGTGGAGTGGATTTGGGAAGGAAAGGGGGGTCCAACTCACTTTGGTGGAATGGCCCCCCCCCCCCCCCATGCCTAGAACTTCAAGGATCCAAGTCCAGTATGCTGAATGACTACAACAGACTAGTCAAATAATTGTTGCTGAAGTTGTTGTTATTATTGTTTACCACTATCACTTTGCGATCCCTGGAGAGGGAGAGGGATCACCCAAATTTCCCACTTGCTGTACATGGATGATCTAAAGCTTTACGGAAAATTGGAAACTGAAATCCAGTCACTGACCCACACAGTCAGAATCTTCAGCACTGACATCAGTATGTCATTATTATTATTATTATTATTGACACAAAAGCACGGTATGTCACAGCAAACGAGATCTATATGCTGGATTTCGTATCACAAAATCTCAACTCAACTCCCAAGTGTCTAGGACCATTTTTATAATAATAATAATTAACAATAATTATTATTTAATAATTATTAATTTAATATTATTTTACTGACACAGAACACACAGTATGTCACAGATCTATATGCTGGATTTCGTATCACAAAATCACAACTCAAACACTTCCCAGGCATCTAGGACTGTGTGATGTATTATTATTATTATTATTATTATTATTATTATTATTATTACCAACATCATCATCCCCATTACAATGGCTTAGCACCTATTCTTCTTATTACTATTACTCACCCCACCCAATGGTTGACAATTTCTGATTATGGTGATGATGATGATGACTATTTACCCCACCCAATGACTTAGAACCCATTAATAATAATAATAGTAATAATAATAATAATAATAATCACCCCAATCAATGGTGCACCACCTATGATGATTATCATCCTTCACACAACCCAATGACTGAGAACTGATTATTTGTATTCTTATTATTCATCCCACCCAATGGCTCAGTCCCTATGATGATGATCATCATCATCATTCACCCCATCCAATAGCTGAGCACCTACGATGATGATGATGATGACGGTTACTATTATGCCCCGCGCCTCAATGGCTGCACCTAAAATAATCAGCAGATCCCAAGGGAAGGAGGAAAGCGCCCTTCCCCAGACGCCGTGATTACCGATGGTGACGGTGTAGATGGAGTTGGCATAGCCGTCGTAGTTGCAGTTGTCGTTGTGGTGCCCTCCGTTGCCGCTGGCCACCACAAAGATGCTGCCGAAGCCTCGCCGGCCGGCCATCACCCCATGCTGCAAGGCAGCCTGCGGAGGAGGAGGAAATAATCATGATATTAATAATGATATTTATTTATTTATTTATTTATTTATTATTTGCTATACTTGTATACCGCTGTTTCTCAGCCTAGCCGGCGACTCAACGCGGTTTACAACAAAATACAACAATCAACAGTATACAATTTAAAACCATAAAAGCATGATACACAATATTCGCACATCAATAACAATCCAATGCATCTCCTGACTAAAATCGTGATCCAGTTTCGTCGTCCATATTACCAATCCTTTAATCATTACATTCATTGCACCGAATTAACCAAATGCCTGTTCGAACATCCAGGTTTTTAATCTTCTACGGAACACCATCAGCGAGGGGGCTGATCTTACCTCCATGGGAAGGGCGTTCCATAGCCGAGGGGCCACCACAGAGAAGGCCCTGCCCCTCGTCCCCGCCAGCCGTGCCTGTGAAGCAGGCGGGATGGAGAGCAGGGCCTCCCCAGAAGATCTTAGGGTCCTGGTGGGCTGATAGGCCGAGATACGTTCGGATAGGTAGGTTGGGCCAGAACCGTTTAGGGCTTTAAAGGCCAACGCCAGCACTTTGAATTGAGCCCGGTAACAAATCGGCAGCCAGTGGAGCTGGTGCAGCAGAGGAGTTGTATGCTCCCTGCGCTCCGCTCCTGTTAGTATCATGGCCGCCGAACGTTGGACTAATTGGAGCTTCCGGGCAGTCTTCAAAGGCAGCCCCACGTAGAGAGCGTTGCAGTAGTCTAAACGGGATGTAACCAGAGCGTGGACTACCGTGGCCAAGTCAGACTTCCCAAGGTACGGGCGCAGTTGGCGCACGAGTTTTAACTGTGCGAATACTCCCCTGGTCACTGCCGAAACCTGTGCTTCCAGGCTCAGCGATGAGTCCAGGGTCACACCCAAACTGCGAACCTGCATTGTCTTCAGGGGGAGTGGACCCCATCCAACACAGGCTGTAACCCTATACCCTGTTCGGCCTTACGACTGACCAGGAGTACCTCTGTCTTGTCTGGATTCAGTACCTCAAATAACAATGCTCAACTAGTGTTGAGGCCTGTGAAGCCTCTGAGGATGAGGACAGGGACTTTCTGGTTGAGCCTGGTGTTTCTGTGCAGGAAAACGAAAGTGTTTTTCTCGAGGATGGGAATGTTTTGGGTAGATCTGTTGTCGGGGAAACTGTCATGTCAAGCAGTTGGGCCGGTAGGCTGTTAGGAATTGTGGGAGCTGGAGTCCAAAACACCTGGAGGGCCTATGCTGAACATTATTGGTTTTTCGGGTTAAATATGGAGGCAAGATCACCGATACCTTTCCAAGCTGGTGAGGCCCGTCCACGGTTTTGCCGTCATCGTCTGGACCCCAACTGCAAAGAGAGGGTCCCAAAACAAAAGGCATGAAACTTAAAGAGTCCAACATGGAAGAAGTGTGATAAAGACACTTGGAACAATCCGTGGTTCTAAATGGTTCTAAAGTACTTACAAAGCTAAAGTTCTGGTGGTGAAAATTTCAGAACTCTAACAAAACTTTCAAAATTTAATTATTATTTCATTATTGGTGATTTTTTAATGACAGAACCAATTAGGAATTGTCATTTATAATAAAATTTTGAGAGTTTTGTTAGAGTTCTGAAATTTTCACCACCAGAACTTTAGTTTTGTAAGTATTTAGAATCATTTAGAACCATGCATTGCCCAGGCCTAGTGAATACTATTATTCACCCCAATCCAAAAAGTGGGTGCTAGAAACAATATCATACGAAAGCTGACTGGCACAACCTGGGGATCACAACCAGATAC